AGCGGCCACTGCACTCCAGTCTGGGCGACGGAGTGAAACTCCAACTCAAAAAAAAAAGAAGATTCTTAGAAATGCTTCATTGGAATAATGGATCTGAAGGATACTTTATAGTGGATTGAGGAATAAGCAGGGAAATGGAGACAGAATATTTAGGTGACCATACAATTTAACATCTAAACTGGGACTCTTGGAGAGTGAGAAGGCTGCTACTAACAATGACTGCAGAGCAACAGGCATAAGCCTGAACGCTGGTCACCCAACAGTCAAGTGTCTCAGAACACCTTCCTGCAAAGAGGAGAGATGGGGTGGCGCCGACCCCTGCGGTGGAGGTTGAACATGTTTACAAACCTATAGGAAGGATGATACAGGGAAGGAGAGGTTGAACGTGCACACACTCAATTTTTAATAGAGAAAATAAGCAAGTGGGTTCCTAAAGGTGGGGAAGAAGATGCACAGGACCCCTCCACTCCCCACGAAGCTGGCTATGAGAAGCCAGAGAGCCTCTCTAAAAACATGTGTTTTGCACATGAAGGGAGAGAAAGTCACCTGTTCTGTGCTCATGGAGGTCAGAGGTTCTAAACAGTTGATTCCAGTAGTGGCAGAGGGAGGTCACATCTAAGTTAGTCTCACAGGCCCCCAAGAGACTCTGTGAGTTGGCCTTCCTGAGAGCTTTACAACACTCCAAATCCAACCTCTAAGAGCATTTGCTATCATAGCCTGGGTAATCCCATCCTTCAAGTTCGAACCACATTAAGTCATCTCTATTAATCACCAAAGTCAGTGGGAGAAAATAAGCCAGTGGTCACTCTACTACCATCTGATACATACGTTATAATTCTAAAATAAATAATAAAAAATAAATAATAAATAATTTATAATTCCGTAAATCTAAGGCTACATTCAGCTCACTTAGAAATAAAATGTGAGCTATTCTTAAAAAGTTTGAGCTACTACTACTGCTGTTGGTGATGGGTGGGAGATATCAAAAAAGGACTCAAGTTAATCCAAATACAGTCTATGTACAAAATTCTGTGCGAAGCATTCAAAGTACAATCCTGCTGTGAGAAGGAATTTTAAATACTCTCTGTTAAGATGGCAAAGGAACCCCTTGACACAAGGAAAAGGATTGGCCTCCTTGTGTTGGTCCAGCAATGAGATCCATGGAGAAAAGAAATGAACACTAGGCTGGCTTACCAAAACAGTGAGTGCCTAGGCCTCCGTGTGCTCCCAAAGCTCCCCAGGGCTGATGTCCTCCAGAGCTGGAGAACCACTGGGACATCAAGGCCAGGAGCTCAATGCCCCAACAACCCAACCACATTATGGCATTCTGTACCTACAGACTGTGCTCTTGACCAGTTTACATGTGTCTAATTTCTCCAAGACATTGTAAAAAGAGACAAAACAGGATAAATTCAATAGCGCTAGGAGCCTTTCCCCTGTACACTAAAAACTACTGTTATTTCAAGTGGTCATTTTTTTGTAGAAGATAATTGTAATTTGGTTTTTAAAAACATTACCTTGATATACAACAAAAATATCAATAATGTTATCTCTGTGGAGCAGGATTATAGGTGATTTTTAATCTTTTTTGTTCTCTGTTTTTCTAACTATTCTATGATAAATGTTGTTTACATAATTTTCTTCTTTTTTTGAGTTTGAGTCTCACTCAATCACCCAGGCGGGAATGCAGTGGCACGCTCACAGCCACCCCAGTGTCAACCTGCTGGGCTCTGGGAATCCTTCTGCCTCAGCCTTCCAAGTAGCCAGAACTACAGGCGTAAGCTACGGGATGTCCAGCTAATTTTTTAAATCATTGTAGAGACAAGGTCTCACCATGTTGCCCAAGCTGGTCTTGAACCCATGGGCTAAGGCAATCCTCTTGCCTTGGCCTCCCCAAGTGCTGGGATTATAGGCTTCAGCCACCGCACCCAGTCCCATGCTTATATAATTTTTAAAAACTCACCTTAAAGACAGAACAACGAACATCAGCTGAGCTTGTATCAAATGCCAATTCCCCAGTTATTTTCTTCAGGAGATCAATAAGAATGGTCGGGGGCATCATTTCCCAGTATTTGGAAGTTATTGTACAGACACCAAGGATCCCTGTGGAACGGACCATTGGATAAGGATCTTCTAAAAGACTCTATAAGCAAGAAGGAAAAAAGGTTTAACTTTGAATCAGTTCCCTGTACGTCAATATCTGCTTCGCACACGAGCACTTTGTAGATCTGCAACTTAATCATACACATTTTAAGCTACAGAAACAATGGTCATACATAGATCCCTGGATATCAGATGATCATTATCATTTCTAAAGCAGAGTATTTGAAAACAATTCAGAAACATGTGGCGCCTTATTTGCCATGTCCCATGACAGCAGGGCCTCCAAAGCAGCTCTTTCATTCAGTGAAATCTGCAGAGTCAGTGAACTGTGGCAGGCATTCAGATTAGCCATGGTCCATGTAAACCACTCTCTTTAAATTCCAAAATGCTGTAAGGCACAGAGCCCAGAATAAAATAATTCCACTTGTAATGAACTGATCCAGGTCATGATCATAAATGGTGCCAACAGCGCCAAGAAACAACGGGATGTCACCTACCCCCATGGAAAATCTATAACAAATAAAATCCATCAAAAAATATGAATCTGACCAACTCCCTACATTTAACTACCAATCTACAGGAAATATAAAGGGCAGAGAAACACACTAAAGGCACGGCAAGAATGAGTTCTACAAATCCAGACTGCTAAAAACTCAGTAGAATAATTTGGCTTCTTCGACAACAAAAATAGTAAGTTTAAAATTAAAAACAACAGACGGCTGGGTTGGTGGCTCAACCTGTAATCCCAGCACTTTGGGAGACCAAGGCGAGTAGATTGCCTGAGCTTGTGGGTTTGAAACCAGCCCAGGAAACTTGGCGAGACCTTGTCTCTACAATAAAATAAAATATAGCCAGGTGTGGTAGCACACGTCTATAGTTTCGGCTGCTTGGAAGGCCGAGGTGGAAGGATTGCTGGAGCCCAGGGGGTCGACGCTGGGGTGGCTGTGAGCGTGCATGCCATTGTACTCCAGCCGGGGCAAAGGAGTGAGACTCTAACTCAAAAAAAAAAAAAGAGAGAGAGAGAAAGATCCCTGGAGAGGGAGCTCATGATCCAAGAGACTAAGCCACAGCGAGTTATGGCCGAGGGGCTTTAGATATGAATTCAAACAAAACTGGAGAAAATGTGAACAACGACTGGTTGCTTGATGACATTAAGAAACTGTTGTTCAGTTTCCTTTAACTGTGATAGTGTCATGACTATATTTGTTTTAAAAACCCCCATCTTTCAGCAAGTCCTTTTGAAGTTTTTGGAGCAGAAATGATAAGATGTCTTAAACAGGCTTCAAAATAAGGGAAGAAATCAGATTCAGTTGGGTCAGTCACAGGTGAAACTGCTATGGTCACATAGGGGTTTACTATTCTAGTCTCTTTTTTATATGTGCGAAATTTTCTACTATGAAAGTTTAAAATAAAGCAAAATACTTCATTCTTTTATAATTAGAAAAAAAGAGACTTTAAGTTAAGATAGATAAGAACTTATCCCATCCTTCCCCCAAATCTGACCAAAATGACAAATTAAAAAATAGAGAAAAGAGACTGAGGAATTTCTGTAAGAAAGAATGAAAATAAAAAACACATTCATAGAGAAAGGAGCAGAAAGAGTTGTAACCTTGATATTCCTATGAGAGGCTCTTTTAAGGACATGAGGCTGAGGGTTTCACGGCAAGGGCTGCAAACAAGCCTGACAAGGTAGACACAGGGCAGCAGTGCAGGAGTGAGCATGTGCTCCAGGATAGAGCCCTAAAAATGGTTTCTAAATATAAGTGCATGATCTTCCGAGGAAGAGTTTCTGAAATAGGTACTGGGGAACAGAGAGAGAGAACAAAGAGCCACCAATAGCTGTACACATCCACAGAGGTAGAGAAGGGAGAGCAGCTCCAGCCGGGAGGTTAAGGGCCCTCTGTACTTGAGTAATGGGGACACCAGCCTGCCCCCACAGAACCTAAAGGGGAGCCCCATATGCTGCTGTGACCTGCCCACTTGTGCAAACCTGCCACCAACAGAATCCAAGGCCGATGCCTGCTGAAGACAGCACTCTACACAACTAAAGAAGAACTCAGTCTGACTACCTCATTAACCCAAACGTATATCCAAAGATAAGAACAGAAAGGAAAAGATGACCAGTCATACGAGGGGAAAAAAAGCAAGAAAAGATTTTTCAAAAATAGAAAAAGACCCTAGGAATCCAAGGACCTATTCTTGGGATTCACAAGTTTGTACAGATTTTGTTTGCTATGAGTTATTTCAGTAACAATCTTTAAATATAATACAAATACATTCTGGACCATTACCTTACAAACACTTTCTCTCCAGGCTCAGTGCCTGTACTTGTTTGCAATTACATCATCCCCAAGTAGTCACTCAAATGACAGTACCTGCTATTTCCACATCTACAGACATTCATGGGGTCCCTTTTTATTTTCTAAAAAAGGTCTCCATATTACTCAAGTTTAAGAAACACTGACAGAGCAAAAAGTATGAGAGAACAGTAAAGGCACATAAAGGATATCTAGAAATAACCATTTCTCTTAGCCGGGCACAGTGGCTCACTCTTGCAATCCGAGCACTTTGGGAGGTGGAAGAGAGAGGATTGCCTGAGCCCACGGGTTGGAAACCTGCCTGGGCAACTTGATGATACCTCATCTTTACAGTAAGTCAAAAAATTAGCTGGGTGTGGTGGTACACACCTGTAGTTCCAGTTACTTGGAAGGTTAAGGCGGAAGGATCGCCTGAACCCAGCAGGTCTAGGCTGCGGTAGCCACGAGCATGCCATTACACTCCAGCCTGGGCGACAGAATGAGACTCAGATTCAAAAAAAGAAAAAATATGTATCTATGAGATCATCTTCTTTATCAGTCCTCCTGAAGGAGACTCGTTTCCACTTACATACAGGCTGAGTTAAAAAACTGAACAGGTTCAGTACCAGAGTCATCTTTGGCATACGAACCACAGAGGCCAAATATAGCCTGTGTCTGCTTCTATGTAGCCCAAAGTGCCACGAATTATTTTTAAATTTCTACATGGTTGAAAAAACAAAGATTTTTATTTTGTGACGTGAAAATTACACAAAACCAAAATCTCACTGTCCACAACTTTTTTTCATTTTTTCTTTTGAGTAGATTCTCATTCTGCTGCTCAGGCTGGAGCGCACGGGGGCAATTACAGCTTACCACAGCTTCAACCTCCAGGGCTCAGGTGATCCTTTCACCTCAGTCTCCCAAGTGGTTGGGACTACAGGTGCATGCCACCAGGCCCAGCTAATTTTGTGATTTTTTTTTTTTTTTTGAGTTGGAGTCTCACTCGGTTGCCCAGACTGGAG